AATCTTACAAGCGTTAGCATTGAATTTAGGGTTCAGACTTTTCTTTCAGGTTCAAAATCAATTCAAATAATCAAGAAAATGAAAAGGGTTCAAAATCTAAGCGTGTTCAGCAATTCTTACATAGTTTTGAATGAAAAAGTTGATGAAATCAAAGAAACTGTCTTCAAATGGTTGAAGGTTTCTGAAGAAAAATACTGTATACTTACTTCATGTGGTAGTGTATACATGAATTTGCTCATGAATTGTGGGTGAACTGGTAGACCTGAATTTTTTGGGTTTTTAGATTCCTAACATAGATTTATAAATTGGTTCCAGATAAAACTTGAGAACTGGGTTTTTGTAGATACTCAGTACACACTTTACAAAAATGTAGGAAGCCTACTTTGATAGGTAGGCCTGAGATCTAGAAAATTAGGGGTTCTTGGAAGAAAATCCTGCTGACATGACTCAGAAAGGAAATAGCAGAGTTCTATTATAGCTAAATTCTCATGCAAAACTAACATTGAACTTATTTTTCGTCAGCACGAGAGCTCTAAGCGAACTATAGTAGGGGAAAGCGATCAGAGATCAGTGTTGATTTATCAGAATTTCACCTGTGTTTTAACGCTTATAACTCGAGATAGACAAAGATAAAAGGATTGAGTTTTCATGGAAAGTCTGAACCTAACCTTGATGCTAGTGCCTGATAGATTTCTAAAGTAGGCCCGTTTAAGGGGGCGACTTGGATTGAAAGCACCTTACTTTTGGGATTTTTCTTCTGCCTGATAGATGATCTTTAATGGATTGTATCTCAGAATAAGGAGAGGGGCCTACTGGGACTTACATTGTGAAAGTGGGCGGAGGTTATACTAAGCATTAGGGCGCGAAAGGTCCCCGGTTAGATCCCCAGCTCAACCCAATTATGCAGTTGTGAGTTGTCTGTTTCATAATTAAAGCCTCTAGGAGCCGGTCACGGCTGCGTGCTCAAGCGGTGTGGTGGTATGAGTCTTGCTTAGGTGGCGAAGATCCCCGGTTCGATCCCCACCTCAACACAATATTTGCGGCTATGTGTTCTCCGTTTCAAAAAGTTGACTCTAGATGCGGAGACGGTGGCCACTATGGCACCATATCTTCAACAGTTCGTAGTCGTTTAGTAATGATTGTTCAAAAACGACAGATTCTTTACAGCGG